AAAAAAATTTTTTTTTCTATTGTAAATTTATTTCTATGGTGACCATTGTTTTATAACAGCTTTATTGGGGTATAATTCACTATATTATAACTCATCTATTTAAAGTGTACAATTTTAGTACATTTGCAGAGTTATACAAGAATACCACAGTATGTTTTCTGACAGATGTTTAATACTGACTCCTTCCTTTTCTCTATGACACAGATCAGGGTTTCTCAACCTCACACTCTTGACATTTGAAGCCAGATTATTGTCTTATGCACTATAGGATATTTAGTAGCATATCTGGCCTCTATTTACTATGCAACTGCCACATCATCCCAGCCCCAGTTGTGAAAACAAAACAAAACAAAATTCTCAGACATTGCAAAATGTCCTCAGGAGTGCAAATCATCCCTGGTTGAGAAATCACTGATGTAGATGAGGAATTTCCAGAAGTTGAACTTGTTCCCTTTGCTCCTGTTTTTTAAATTTGAAATGTCAAATTATAGCCACAACTCAGTCTCTAACATGGTCTATTTCTCCGAGAATATAGTCCCTCCTGGAATCCCTCTTGGACAGAATTTAAAGCAGCTCCCAGCTAGTTCTCCTCACAAGTGTGGCATAGACCTCATTCATTATCTTTTTATCCTGACCAGTTCTGCAGGTAGGGCCACTCAGCTGCTCATTCCTCTCTCTCTCTCTCTCTCTCTCTCTCTCTCTGCCATTAGAGCTACTAACTTACAGGATTGTCCTTTTTTTTTTCACCCTCTCCCCAACCAGGAATAAAACACTAATCTACTAGGTTTCCTTAACTGCACCTTCTGTTATCTCCAGTGACCCCCATTGAAGGGTAACTTTCTTAGCTTGGGGAGAATGGGAGAAGCTCTTATCCCAGTGTTCTTGGTGGGCCTCAGATTTAATCTCTTCAGAGAACTACCCTTTATAAATCTTTGTTTCATCTCTACTTTTCTCTTTACTTTCTTTTTTGTGTGGTACTGGGATCGAACCCAGGGGTGTTCTACCACTGAGCTACATCCCAGTGCTTTTTAAAGAAACTTATTTTGAGACATGGTCTAAGTTTCTGAGATAGGCCTTGAATTTGCAATCCTCTCAACCTCATCCTTCCAAGTTGCTGGGATTATAGGTGACTGTGATCCCACAGTGACCTAGGTGACGATAGGATATTCAAAAGTTACGAGCCAGTTTTCAGATAATTACTTTAATATGTCTACAGAGTAGTTATCTCACAATTCATTCTGATATCTGATATCTAAATACCTTAGGGGCTAGGAAAACTGCCATTTTATTATCCTGTTCTTTGTTTAACAGTGTTATTTATTTATAGGGTGCTTCATTGGATATGACGCAACCATTAAAAACTGGCCTATAAAGAAATGTTTGCAGCATGTGTTGATTGAAGAAAAGACTGTAAAGTCAGCTTTAACCTCATGATTTTAAAATAAAAAAATCATATTCATAGACAAAGAAGACTAGAAAAATTCGTAGACCAGAAGAAAATAAACTTAAATATTATTTGTGATTATTTCTGTACAACAGGATTGTTCTATTACTAGTATTTTTGTTTCCCTGAATTTTCAACTGTAAGCATGCATTTATTTTTACACAGAATAATATTTAAAATATGTTACATGAAATTAAAATGGAACTTGTCTATATTCACATACTCTTCCTCTTTTAATTCAAATATTTTTAAAACTCAGGTCCAAGCTTCCAGGACATTTTATCTATTTCTTCTTATTTTTTTTTATCTCTCTCTCTCTCTTTCTTTTTTGGCATCGGAGTGTACCAGGGATTGAACTCAGGTGCACTCAACCACTGAGCCACATCCCCAGCCCTATTTTGTATTTTCTTTAGAGACAGGGTCTCACTGAGTTGTTTAGTACCTCTTTTTTGCTGAGGCTGGCTTTGAATTCAAGATCCTCCTGCCTTAGCTTCCAGAACTGCTGGGATTACAGGCGTGTACCACCACACCAGCTTCTATTTCTTCTTTATAAGGCTTCTCAGTACCTCAACAACAAAGTGCAAACTGTTTAGCATGGTATTCTAGGCTTTTATCAGCCTAGTCTTCTGCATGTCATCTGCCTCTTTGTTCTCTGTCCATATGCCCACCTGGGTCTTCTGTGTTGTGTTATATATTTTTGGAGTGAGAATTTTGTAAGCTTTGTTTCTGAGACTCCCTCAAAGTTGGCTTCTGGTCAACCACTAGGGTGGAAGGAGAGGAAAATGAATTTACTGATTATTTATTCTATGAATATTTCTGCAGCAGGCGCCGCAGCAGTGGTCAGCTATGGAAAAGTGTCTTTTGAATATTCCATTACCTGTGGGCAAAGCCTCTTCCTCAATCCCAGGATCAATCCCTGGCTCTCAAGTCCCAGCACATGCTAAGGGACTCTCCCCCATTATCCCTGTGAGGCCCATTTGATCTTTCAGTAGATCTTGCACCAGCTAAAGGACTTACTCAGTGGTCTCAACAATAGCCCTAGAGACACTACTTCTTTCAATTTTTCCTCCAGGTTTGTAGGTTGATAGGTGCTTCCTGAAACTACCCATCCTTAATTTCATCGTTGTATTTTTAAAATTTGTTTTAATTAGTTAAACATGACAGTAGAATGCATTTATGCACTTTGATATATCATACACAGAGAGGATATAATTTCTCATTTTTCTGAGTGTACATATTGCAGAATCATATTGGTCATGTAGTCACATATATACATAAAGTAATAATGTCTATTTTATTCTACTATCTTTTCTATCCCCACATCCCCTCTCCTCCCCTCCTTTCACTTCCCTCTACCTAATCTAATGTAATACAATTCTTCTCTAGTGCCCCCCAACCCCCCAACTCCTGCTTTATTGTAAATTAGAATTTGCATAGTAGAGAAAACATTTGGCCTTTGGTTTTGTGGGATTGACTTATTTCGCTTAGCATGGTATTCTCCAACTCCATCCATTTACTAGCAAATGCCATAATTTCACTCTTTTTTAAAGTTGAGTAATATTCCATTGATTTTATATATACCACATTTTCTTTATCCATTCATTTATTGAGGGACACCTAGTTATAATTTAGCTATTGTGAATTGAACTACTATAAACATTGATTACTGTAGTATCCTGATTTTAAGTCCTTTGGGAGTGGGATGGCTGGGTCAAATGGTGATTCCATTCCCAGTTTTCTGAGGACTCTCCGTACTGCTTTCCATAGTGATTGCACCAATTTTCAGTGCCACCAGCAATGTAAGAGTGTACCTTTTTCTCCACAGCCTTGCCAACATTTATTGTTGCCTGTATTCTTGATGATTGTCAATCTGACAGGAGTGAGATAAAATCTTAGTGTGGTTTTGATTTGCATTTCTCTAATTGCTAGAGGTGTTGAATACTTTTTCATATATTTGTTGATCAATTGTATTTCTTCTTCTGTGAGGTGTCTGTTCAGTTCCTTCCATTTATTGATTGAGTTATTTGGGTTTTTTTGGTGTTAAGTTTTTTGAGTTCTTTATATATCCTAGAGATTAATGTTTTATCAGAGGTGCATGTGGTAAAAATTTCTCCCACTCTGTAGTCTCTCTCCTCACAGTGTTGTTTCCTTTTCTGAGAAGAAGTTTTTTAATTTGAATCCATTCCATTTATTGATTCTTGGTTTTACTTCTTGCACTTTAGGCATCTTGTTAAGGAAGTCAGATCCTAGGCCCACATGTGAAGATTTGGGCCTATTTTTTCTTTTATTAGGCGCAGGGTCTCTGTTCTAGTGTTTAAGTCTTTGATCCACTTTGAGTTGATTTTTGTGCAGGGTGAGAGTTAGAGATTTAATTTAATTTTGCTACATATGAATTTCCAGTTTTGCCAGCACCATTTGTTGAATAGGCTATCTTTTTTCCAGTGAATGTTTTTGGCACCTTTGTATGACATAACTGTATTTATGTGGGTTTGTCTCTGTGTCCTCTATTCTGTACCACTGATCTACAAGTCTATTTTGGTGCCAATACTATGCCATTTTTGTTACTATAGCTCTGTAATATAGTTTAAGGTCTGGTATTGTGAAGCCTCCTGCTTTACTTTTCTTTCTAAGAATTGCTTTAGCTATTCTGGGTCTCTTATTTTTCCAAATAAATTTTATGATTGCCTTTTCTATTTCTATAAAGAATGTCATTGGGATTTTAATAGGAATTGCATTAAATATATATAACACTTTGGTTAGTATGGCCATTTTGACAATATTAGTTTTGCCTATCCAGGAGCATGGGGATCTTTCCGTTTTCTGAGGTTTTCTTCAATTTCTTTTTTTAGCGTTCTGTAGTTTTCATTGTAGAAAACTTTCACCTCTTTTGTTAAATTGATTCCCGGGTATTTTATTTTTATTTTTTGAGGCTATTGTGAATGGGGGTAGTTTTCCTAATTTCTCTTTCAGTGGATTCTTCACTGATATTAGGAATGTGTTTGATTTATGGGTGTTGATTTTATATCAGCTAGTTTTCTGACTTCATTTATTAGTTCTAGAAGTTTTCTGGTGGAATATCTTGGATATTCTAGTTATAGAATCATGTCATCAGCAAATAGTGATAGTTTGAGCTCTTTTTTACCTATTGTATTCCTTTATTTTTTTTCTTTTTTCTAGTTGCTCTGGTTAGAGTTTCAAGGATGATGTTGAATAGAAGTGGTGAAAGAGGACATCCTTGTCTTGTTCCAGTTTTTAGCGGGAATGCTTTCAATGTGTCTCCATTTAGAATGATTCTGGCCTTGGGTTTAGCATAGATAGCTTTTACAATGTTGAGGTATGTTCCTACTGTGCCTACTTTTTCTAGTGTTTTGAACATGAATGTGTGTTATATTCTGTCAAATGCTTTTTCTTCATCTATTGAAATGATCACTATTCTTCTTTTTAAGTTTATTAATATGATGAATTATATTTATTGATTTCCATACGTTGAACCTGTATCCCTGGGATGAACCCCACTTGATCGTGGTGCACTATCTTTTTGATATGTTTTTATATGCAATTTGTCAGAATTTTTGCATCTATGTTCATTAGAGAGATCCGTCTGAACTTTCCTTTCCTTGATGTGTCTTTGATTTTGGTATGAGGGTGATATTAGCCTCATAGAATGAGTTTGGAAGGGTTCCCTTCTCTTCTGTTTCATGGCCTACTTTGAAGAATATTAGTGTTAATTCTTCTTTGAGAATCATGTAGAACTTGGCTGAGAATCCATCTGGTCCTGGGCTTTTCTTTGTTGGTAGGCTTTTATTGACATTTTTTTTTAATTTCATTACTTCAAATTGATCTGTTTAAATCGTGTATGACCTCCTCATTCAGTTTGAATAGGTCATATGTCTCTAGAAATTTGTTGATGTCTTCAATATTTTCTATTTTTTAGAGTATCATCATTGTATTTTTATTTTTTTATTTTTTTATTCTCAGCCTTTCCAATACCTGTGAAAACAATAATCTTATTAATTTTCCCTTCTTGGAAATGTCTAGAGCTATGTCTGATTTCCTGATTTACAGCTGAAATCACATAATCACATGTGCTTGTTCCATTGGTCAGAATTCCAATGGAACATGTCTCACCCAATTGCAAGAGGATGTAAACTGGGTCCAGCTACAATTACAGAGGCAAATAACAGATATGAATGGGGCATTTA